AACTCGTGAAAATTTTCATAGTATGATTTTCTACGACTTTAAGTGCAATTTATCAGCTCAGCGGAGCTTCGCTCGGCTTCAAACTGCTTTTGGCGAAGAAGCACCATACAAGACGACTATTTATAGCTGGTTTGCAGAATTCAAACGCGGTCGTGTGAATCTCAGTGAAGAATTTCGTGATGGTCGCCCGTCCACTGCTGTGAACTACAAAAACATCGATGCTGTGCGTCGTATGATCAAAACAGACAGGCAGACAGGCATGTGACATACTATGAGATTCGAGCATCTTTAGACATAGGCATGAGTCAAATACAATCAATACTTAATACAAACATTTGAATTGAATTTGTGTGAAAAAGCTGTGCTCTCGATGGATCCCACACAATTTGATTGAACCTCGCGTCACTTGGTGCAATGCCATGCTTACCAGATTCAACGAAGGGACATCAAATTTGGTGTGGGTCATAGTAACAGGTGACGAAACATGGATTTGTCGTTACGACCCCAAAACAAAGCAGCAATCAAGCGTAGTAATCAAGGCTCTTTCGAGATGAGCCGAAACCAAACAAAGTGGCGCGCGTGCAAAGTGCCTCTAAGCGGATGATTGCTTTTTTTAAATAAAACTGGACACGACGTGGCTGATGTTGCTTTGGAGAATTGTTGTACCGTGAATAATGATTGGTACACGACCATTTGTTTGCCGGAAGTTATTGATAAACTTCGTAAAAATAACCGTAAACGCAGTATCATCTTGCACCACGATAATGCCAGTTCTCACACGGCCAGACATACAAATGAATTTTTGAAGTGAGCAACGTTAACCTTTTGAGCCATCCCTATATGAGCCATACTAACTGCCTCAGTGGCCGAACGGTTACCATGCCGGACTGCCACGCAGAGGTCCCAGGTTCGATTCCCGGACAGGGAGAAATATTTGTATGGTCTACATTTATTTCTCTCGTGAGTTTGGGTGTAATTTGTGGTTGTTTGTGTGTGTGTCCATAGCACCCGCGACACAGGGTCTCCCTAGTGCGGGGCTATGTTGAGTGTGAGCGTTATTATTATTATTATTATTATTATTATTATCCCGCGTACAGTCCCGACCTGGCACCTTGTGACTTTCATTTATTTCCAAAAATTAAGAACCAGTTACGTGGTCAACGATTTGAAAGAATTTGAAAGAGGCTGTCGAAGTGTATGAAAAATATGTTTCAGGGATTGTCACGGAGGAGTGGCAATAATGTATTCAAAATTGGTTCATTCGTATGAAAAAATGCATTAACGCTGACGGAGAATATTTTGAGAAACAATAAATTCATTTCTGTACCGTTTATAGCATTTTTTTCTCATTCATTCCGGAAACTTCTGGTGCGCCCCACGTATAAAACAAAAGCAATACCTAACCACTTTAATTCAAATTCGCCAATAGAATTACGCCTACTTCTCTCCCTTGCCTTTATTTATCATAGTCGAAATGTTTCATTCTCTTCACGTCCTTGGTGATTATATTACGTACCAGACATGTTCAAAAAATGGATTAAGGCGTCTCAGTCAATAATATTAATAAATAAAAGTAAAATAATATTTTAAGATATATGAGCACATATTTAGTTAGAAATTGTACCTTCCGTTATTTGCTTATCGTTCAAAGATCATGGCCCATCAAAGTATAAAAACCATACCTATAGCGTACAGACATTTATAACATAACATTATAGAAAATAACATTTATACAAAACTACGAGCCCTGTACTGAGACAGGTGGGCCTACGGTGGGGTCTGGCTCGTCCTGCGGCGCGTGGTCGGGTTCAGATTACGGGGTGTGCTCATGCTCTTCGGTGGCACAGCGGTTAGTACCATGGGCGCTTGACGAGGAGGTTTCGGGTTCGATTCCCGATTTGGGCCAATTTAGGAAACGAATATTTCTAAGTTGGTTCTGGTGCCTTCAGAGTTATCGTTATTCTGGTATTCATAGTACAGGAAATTCCCTAATTAGAGACCAGAAATTTGGTGTTCATGTCTGGGAGTTTCTTCCCTAAAATACTTGTCTTTGGCATAGCTGCCAAGAAAATGAATCTAACAGACAGGCGGTCGAGATACAACAACGCTAAAAGTATCTCATGTCCACTACATCGAGGAGTATGCCTTACATTTTGAACAATTGTAAGATCTTGTACCTATTTGTAATAGAGTATATATAACCTACGTACAGTGGTGTGCGGACGCTTCGGGCTTCGCCCTCCCCTGGACCTCGGCCTACGGCCTCGGCACTAATGTTTTAAAAAATTAACACAGCACTTTAATGGCGGCCATATTGAGAAATGGCAAAAAGTAAATTTTGACTTCAATTATTATTAAACACCCATAGAGAACCTGCCGATTTTCAGTCGAATTAGAGCAAATTTTTAACAGCCGCTAAAAAACTTTGTATGGCAACCATATTGAAAAATGACTAAATGTAAATTTGACAGCAAATTATTATTAAACGCTCATAGAGACCCCGACATGCCAATTTTCAGTCGAATTAGAGCAAATTTCTTTTTGCCGCCGAAAGTTTGTATGGCAGCCATATTGAAAAATGACTAAATGTAAATTCTGACCGCAAATTATTATTAGACACTCATAGAGACCCCGAAATACCAATTTTCAGTCGAATTAGAGCAAATTTCTAATTGCCGTTGAAAAAGTTTGTATGGCAGCCAGATTGAAAACTGGTGAAAAATAAATTTGGATCTTAAATTATTATCAAACACCCATAGAGATCCCCACATGCAGACTTTCAGTCGCATTAGAACAATTTTTTATCTGCCGCCAAAAAACACCTGTTTGCTGGCTATATTGAAAAATGGAGAAAAACTATTGTTGATCACAAATTATTATCAAGCACTTCCCGCATGCCTATTTTCAAACGAATCAGAGCAAAATTTTTTCTACCGCCAACGAACGCATGTACTCGTCATATTTGAAAATGACGATAAACCAATTTCGAGTACAAATTATTATGCACATGCCAATTTTCAGCCGAAACAGGGCAAGGCCCTTTCAGACACCTATTTTTACGAAAAAACGCTTATATGGCAGCCATTTTAAAAAGTGGCGAAAAAAACTTTTGACCCCAAATTATGATTAACGACTCTCAATGAACCCCGCTTGCCATATTTCAGTCGGATCGAAGCAAGTTTTTGTTCGGCCACCATTTTTAATTCGCCATCATGAATTAATTTTGACACAGGCAATTGACCACTGTTACCCTGCATGATATTCCTTCGAGCACATCGTACCTATCTCTAATAGTTTCCGTGATAGAACCTTCGAAATTTGTATGGCGGCCATCTTGTTTATTTGAATTTCGAACATTGTTTACTTCTGGCGGAAATTGCCCAGATTGTACCTCATAAATGTCCGCGCAGGGTTCGTGTATGAGTGTGATGATGGTTATGTATGGATAGTATTTCAATAGGCATAGTATCACATTAGGGTTTTCACACTTTCTTTATTTATTAGAGGGTTTATTCTTAATAGAATATGCTATGCCACCCCCATAGGAACACAACACCACTTAAACACACTACTAGTATACTAAATACTGATAATTATCTACATTTTATACGTTTTTGTACCATGTGGCACAACGCTCTGGCGACTTTGGATATAGGGTAGGGTAGGGTAGGGTAGCCAGTATGCTGTTATAATAGTTTGCATTTAAAAACAATGACAATTTATTTAATCTATTGCGCATGTATACTTATAAACACATTTATTTATTAAAAAGAAATAGGCACCTAATAAAGTACTAGGCAGTAGGTACAGTATTACTGTTATACCTGCATTATTTTTAATTAGAGTAAAAATTCTGCCAAGATTTTTTCTCCTTTATTAAAGTACCTACATAAATTAGTATAAAAATCCTAAAATCAGTAGAAAATATAATAACTAGTACTTTGAAAATGTACGGCATACAAAAATCAATGTTCTAACACTATTAAACAACAAGGCAGGGGAAAATTTTCAGAGGTCGTGAATATTTCCCTTGTTGACTTGGAAATTACTGAACATAATTTGCAGACAGAGAGTTCAGTTTTCTCGGAAATTCCCTTAACCGTATACTAAACCTTGTATACCTATAACAACTATTAACTTATTATTATATTGTGGGTAAAACCTTAGGTTTACCATTAGTAAACTTACTAAAATAAAAATGATAGGCATGGCGTGTAAAAAATGAAGTATAAGAAACAAAGTGCATTACATTACTTCTTGATAAATATCTAATAAAAGACAGCGTACGCAGCAGTGGCCAGGTCTCAATTTCTAAGAAAATCAATGGACATGTTCTAGTTTCCCATCGACCACTTTAAAATAAGTACCAGGCCGGTAGATATGCATAGGAGCTGTCTCCGGGAACTAGGTCGTTACAGCGTAACCAGGTCACTAGGTTCGTTCTCAGCTGCATTAAACGTACATAGGTATAGGTGTGAATAACTACGACAAGTTAGAGCACAATAAAATACGTAGGTGCGTTAATATTGCTCTATATTTACGGTTACCATATTATTTATGTTAAATTATTACACTTAATATGCGCTTTCATCGGTGAATGACTTTCAACGGAAAGAAATATGGACATTTGAAATTTGGTGGTCTATAAAAGTCTAATTTTTCGTCATGCCACATGGTTCTAAGTCACGGACATGTTTACATCAGAACGATACACACCTACCTATTGCAAATAATTTTTTCATCAATTTTTCAATTTAATCATCATCAATCCA